AGCTCCGTCTTGTCTGTCTGTCTGTCAGTCCGTCTGTCTGTCTGCTCTGTCAGTCCGTCTGTCTGTTCTGTCAGTCCGTTTGTCTGTCTGTCAGTCCGTCAGGTCTGTCTGTCAGTCCGTCAGTCTGGTTCTGTCAGTCCGGTCAGTCCGTCTGTTCTGTCCGTCCAGTCCGTCTGTCTGTCTGTTCAGGTTCCGTCTGTCTGTTCCTAAATTCTCCCTCCTTTTTCCCCCCTTTCAGTCCGTCAGTCCGTCTGTCTGTCTGTCAGTCCGTCAGTCCGTCTGTCTGTCTGTCTGTCAGTCCGTCTGTCTGTCTGTCAGTCCGTCTGTCTATCAGTCCGTCTGTCTATCAGTACGTCTGTCTATTAGTCCGTCTGTCTGTCAGTACGTCTGTCTGTCTGTCCGTCCGTCTGTCCGTCCGTCTGTCTGTCTGTCCGTCCGCCCGTCTGTACATCCGTCTGTCTATCCGTCCGTCCGTCCGTCCGTCTGTCCGTCTGTCTGTCCGTCTGGCCGTACGGTGTCTGTGAACACTACTAGCGCCTAATCCATGCGTAGGAATTTTTCCAAATTGAAGAGCCCCCTGTCTATCTGGCTCGAGTCAAAACTTGAGTCAGATGTCAATAAATGATATCAATAAAAGGAGAAATGTCTTCATTCATTAACATTTACTCAACGTTCTATGTGATACAGTACCAGAAGCAGTGCCATGTTAATGCACAGGGTTGAAGGGTCCCAATGTTCAATGGCCCCCCGATTGTTCATAATACAAAAATAGTAAATTTTTCAAAAAATTCATATGTTATGTATAATTAAACTAAACTAAAAATTGGGAAAACGTTGCGATGTGTCGCGTATCATTGGATAATATTTACAACATTGAATGTTATTGACTGATGCATTTCCATTTTATAATGAACAATCCACTAAAAATTAAAACTATTTAATTTGTAGTATTTTTGAAAGTAATTATAAATATGTTATTCTTACTTATACACCTATGTTTAAATTTTTGTTTGAATAATCATACATTCAAATACTAATTAATACTTTCAAAACATTTAAAAAATCCAAAATACAATGTGAATTGATAGGATTTGCTTTATAATTCGGTATCGAAATGGCAGGAGGGAGATCGGTTAAAAAGTAAGAATAGGGGATCCCCCAATGCTGTTAAAACGGCCCTAACCAGAATGGAGCAAGACGATTCTTTTACTGAAGTTAGTACGGCGCGAAATAGAGACGAAGGATACAAATATGTATGATGCGAGAGAGAGACCCAATTCTTGCTCAAAGCTGACCTAGACGGTTCAGTATCCTCGTTCACCACTTGAGCCATTCAAAATTTCTATCAATCTCCGTATCTGCTTGGATCAAGCGACAAATTGGTTCTTAGACGGTCAATCATTCTTGATTCAAGGGATTGACTCTATCTTTTGATAAAAATGATTGACCGTCAAGACTCTAGAGTCACCTTTAAGCGATTGTTAATATAAAATAGCTGCCCCCCGCAAACATTCTGCGTTTTGGAAAACACTGAAATACCTTAAATATAGAATTTTCTATTGTGCTTCCTTTCTCCGGAATTGGCAGCCTTAATCGAGTTGGTGACTGCAAGTTGTCGATAGTCGATATATTTCCATTGGCGTCAACGAGCGAAACTCTGTGCACCTTGACTTCCCTAAAAATAGAAAAAAATACCCTAAAACGCTGTTTTATAAGAATTAGAAATAGCGTTGTATATCTCCGGAAGTTATGAATAATGCCCTGTGGTGTACAATGATGAAACACATAGTAGCTATGTTTTCATTCTCTTTTTTGTCAAATAAAGGTTCTAAAATTTAAATTCGTTTGCATATTTAACTTAACTTTTGTATCATACCTGGAAAAATCAATATGGGAAGCAGAATTATTTTTTAATATTTCTAAAAAATCCAATCGCAATAATGTATTTATAACACACATTGGAAAGATAGCTGTCGTCAATAAATCAGGAGAAAGCTTTATCTGTAACAAATACAATGGGTAAAACACAGTCTTTTAAATCACAATTTGAAAATGAATTAAGGTAATGTATGTTTCTTACTTACAAAACTAACTGCCGACTCAACTGGTTCCAATACTTTCTCTAGTAAATATATCTCCTCTGATATTCTTTTCTTATTCGTAAATTTTTCCCATTTAAAAGCAGCCATACTACTACCTGCGCAATAAAAATGATTCATTCTACCAAATATTTTACTGAAAAATTTCCTGTGAAGTGCAAATTATTCATTTCTTTGAGAAAAGCAATGTGCATGTCAAATTAAACATACAATGATAGGAGAGAATATTTGAAAGAATTAACAGTAATACAGTTTGCCACTTAATGAACAAAATATATCTGTGATCTCCAAAACGCAAATCACATTTCTCTTTATGCTCGTAAAAGGATTAAAAGCGCATAAATGGAAAGTATCTCACAAAGAGTTATTTTTGTAAGCTAAATGCATTTGGCTGACACTACTTTCATGCAAATACAAAATATATTAAACTAATGGTTCCACAGAATGGCAGAGACTTTCTCGTATTTGTTTTCTATTTCCTTTAGTCTCGGCTAGCTATCCGGACTTACCACATACTCTTACCAGCTGCAAAAAGTACATTTATTTGAAATTTTGTTAATTTTTCGGTTTCCTAATAATAGAACGGAAAAATTATTTTAAGAATATTAAAGAAAGGCCAAATAACGTTCCAAATGGCAAATTTTCTTTGAAAAATTTAAAGAGGTTTTGAAGAAAATGCCGCTTAAGCACTATTGGAAATTGGAAATTGAAAGCTCTTTTTCACATTTTTTGTTTTGTTTTGTTTTCAAAAAACTTCACTGGAAGTCATTTGAAGCACTTTAACTCACAAATACAATACTATTTACAAATTGCTGAAAATATTCATTCAAACCGCGTGAGGTGTCATTCAAAAAACTTATTTTTGAGTAATTTTTGAAAAAAAACAACAAAAAAATACACCAAGTCAGTTCAGTTCGAAAAGTTTGAAGAAAAAAGTTGAAACCGTTTTTGAGAAAGTGGTGTTTCAGCATTTCTGAAAAACCGAACTTTTCAAATACTTTTTAACGAAAATTGTTGAGTTTTCAAGAAACTTTATATGATAATATTTAAAGCATATATTCTCATAAATATAACAATGTAAAGAACATGATCTCGTGGCTCAGGGCGAAATTCGCTTGCCACTGACGTTCCGTGTTCGTTTTCCGTAGAATCCCCATAGAACATGTGAAAAATGTTACAACAAAACGAGTTTGCCTGCTTTACAGGGGCTAGTCCAACCCCTGTGAAGCATCCTAAACCTTACCCCTATCCTTATTTCTTCCCAATTCTGGC